TACTTATTACAGATTATCATTATCCTATTAATCAACATGGCCCCTTATGGTGTCTAGTTTTATTAATTTTAAATAGTTCAGTATGATTAAAAAATGGGTAATCCTGTCTTGGTTATTCATTTATTTGCTGAAAGCTCATTAGATGTCCAAACTTCTGGAGTTTAAATACAGAGATGAACAAAGCAGACACAAGTCTCTACCCTCATGGGATTTCTATTTCTTTGCTAGGAGACAGAGAATAAACAAGTATGTACAATGTCAAACATTGTGCCACGAAAAACCAAAGAAGCCTAAAGGGGATAGAGCTTCTGGTGAGCATGGATCTTATGAAAGGAGGTACCTGGGTGGCACTTGAGAAGATACTGGGGGAAGGAAGAAGAAATAAGCCCTAACAGTATTCAGGCAGAGCATGTTTCAGGCAGAGGGATTGGCAAGTGCAAAGGTTGGAGCTAGGAACTCGACCTAGAGACCTAAGGAACTTACGGAGTGAGTTGGGAGCCATTGGATGGTTCTGAGCAGGGGCATAGTGTGATCTTAGACCTTAAAAGGACCACCATGGCTGTGCTGGTGAGAACAGAATGTGTGGGGCAAGAAAAGAAGCAAGATCAGTTAGGAGCCTCCAGAGTAATCCAGACCGGGCCAGAGTTGCTGGTTGCCAATCACTCCTGACTAGAGATTTCTGTTTGTGCCTTTAGATCTCTAATTCAGTTTTCTAGTCTGCAGCCCATTGCAGTGGTGTAGAGCTCTGCTGGGGAATCCTACCTCATGTATCTCTTAAACTCTCCTGCCAACCTATATTCTCAACCTTCTCCCAGTGAAACTCTCATATACCTTTGGGCCCTTTCTTTCAATGGTTCTTATGACATTTTATGAGAAATGAGAACATACAGAAGGATTCAGAGTCATTTCTCCTGGATTCACATGTCAAATTCACTCAACAACTCACATGAACAGGTGGAATAACTCTGAATCCTTTAGTATTGTCTCATTTTGTTTGTCTATAGAGGTTGTTGCAGAGGAAATTGAGCAACAGCAGCAGGTGAATGGGTCCTGTTTTACAACCAACATGTGGTATGACCCTGGTGAAGCCACATGATCTCCTTGGGCCTCTGTAATGGGCACAAGTTGATCTCATAGACTCTTCGGAGAGATTTTGGTGTGTGAATACTTTGATTGTGCCCTTTTGCAGATAGGACCCACTTCCACAACAAAACAGAAAGTAGTGGAACCAAGAACTAGAAGTAGACTTTAAGTGGTTTCTATTTATTTAAAAAGGCTTCCCAACGAGCACATAGACCCAACTTGCATCCTCGGTCTCTGTTGTCCAGTACAGTGAAGTATATATTTTACTTACTCCTTTACCTTGTAACACTAATAATACAAGTGTAATCTCCCCGGGCCCATGTGAAGACCCCTTGTAATTTTCTATGTTTCTATTAATTTATGGAAGTCTTTGACCAACTAAAAAATAAGTCAGTTTTAAAAATGAGTAATTCAAAAAGTAATGCCGTGAGTAGGAGACACACTCTCATGCAATCAGCAAACTGCGTATGCACAGAACTATTTATATGGGTGGCTTGGATGGGTTTGTTGCATGTTTAAGGCACGTGAAAATAGCTTCACATCATCTATTTGCCTGGTGGTATTTGTGATGGTTAAAAGCATGGACTCTGAAACCTTCAATTTGTTCCTTACCTCTGCCGTTTACTAGGTGTCACTTTGGAAAATATACTCAACAATTCCGAGCCTTTTCAGACACCTATAAAATGGGGATTACATTTATTTCATTAGGTTTCTGTAAGGATCAAATTTTTTAGCTGAATGCCTGTCCCATAGTGGGTGGTAAACAATGATTGCCATTATTATCGCTGTTGTTGTTATTAGGTGTTGTATTTTATTATTAAGCACAGTAATTATCACTATCATTTATGAATTAGTTAATTTTTATGGTTCCTAAAGCATTTTCCTATACATCTGGGCATAGGAGTCCTGTGGGGCAGAAAGTGCAAATAGCAATTATAATCTCCGCTTTGTGAGCAGGGAGACACAGAAGCAGCAAAACTGAGTGACTTGCCAAAGACATATAGCTTATGAGTAGCAGTTAGGCCAAAACATGCAGGTCCCTTGAGTCCTCATCCGGGTTATTATCTCTTCTGATTTTAACGTTTTTTCTTTATTTTGGTTCTTGGGCCATTGTCACTTGAATAAAAGCTCATCATTATTAGCCTTATCCTGCCAGGTTGAGTTTGTCATTGACTCATCTACTAAATGCACAGATCACTGAAATATTTGGACACAGTACTATAAGCACTGTCATATTCTGCTTGTTTCTGTTAAATGAAATTTTCGATTTTACTTTTTTCTTTTAAGAACTAATGACAAAAAGTGCTTGTAATCTTATCATCTCATCTGTCAGCTGATTTTACCAACTTGCTGCAATTGTTCCACAGTACACTGCAAAAGAGGGAGGAATGATTAGAGAATATTATTTCTGTCCACAATAAAAATGCAACCAGTTATTTGAACTGAGTTCTGCCTATGGGACCCCTGCTTTAGTTAATACAATATGAGAACAAAACCTCTTTCTTCTCTCCTTATTTTAATATTCCTTTGAAAGAAAACTGAACATCTGTAGATGACTGAGTGAACGTTAATAAGGTTGATGGTGAGAGAGAAGGAAAAACAAGAGTGAAATGGCAAAGCTTGGAAAATTACTAGGCATAATGTAATACTGGCATGAAAGACCCCGTTTTATGCCTGTCTGACTTATCTTAAGCCTTCATCAATAACCACACCTGATTAATTACACTGTGGTAGCCAGAGAAACTAGCAGAATAAAAATGTGCTGTTTTGGATGGGGAATGGGTAACTGTATCATTGGTATTACTTGCAGTCTGCTCTTTTCTTTTGAAAAACAAAGCTCTGGGATGTGGTCCTACTATATGCCAAGAGGCAGTCTGTGGAAGATCATCACCTTTCAGGCTAATCTCACACTGATTCACCCTCTTACTTCTGTGCACCATCCATACTACCTTTCAAATTTAACCTTGTAGAATTAAGAAAACATGATAGTTTAGAGTCCAGTCTTCAAGCTGCCTGATTTAGTAGCCTTAGATCAAGATATAACCTCTTATGCCTCAGTTTTTCTACTTGGAAAATGGAAACAATAGTGTGTACATCATAGGAGTGTTAAGAAACCTGCAGGACTTAGTGCCTGTAAAGTACTTAGACAAAACAATGACAGACACATGGTTAGCACTTAATGCACAGTTATCTATTATTATTACCATTAAAGATGGAAAGGTGTTTTATTCCTGGGTTAATGGATTCTTATCTTTTCCTCATCACTCACTTCATAGATTGGAAAGGCTTTTGATCTGACGCTACTCTTTTTAAGCCATTTTATAACTTCAGTTCTTCCTCAATTTGTAATGTGAATAAACTACACCAAAAACTAATAATGAGAAGTATGTTTGGAGTTAGACACACTTGGGTGCTTAAATCTAACTTCTGGTTCTTTATTAACTAATTTAGGGACATGGGACACACGGCTTAAATTCTTTGCGTCTTGTATTTTTTTTACCTCTAAATAGAGAATTATTCCTAATGTCACTGCTCATCTGAGCTAAATTCATTTTTTATGTATAAAAGTTACTTAATCCTTTATGGGTATATGGTAATCAGTGGCTTCATTTCAAAACCTGTTGAATGAATTGATTTAAAAATCCTAATAATAGGTGTGGTGCAGTGGCTCACGCCTATAATCCCAGTACTTTGGGAGGCCAAGGTGGGTGGATCACGAGGTCAGGAGATCAACCATCCTGGCTAACACAGTGAAACCCCATTGCTACTAAAAAATAAAAAATAAAAAATTAGCGAGGCATGGCGGCATGTGCCTATAGTCCCAGCTACTCGAGAGGCCAAGGTAGAGAATTGCTTGAACCCAGGAGGAGGAGGGTGCATTGAGCCGAGATTGTGCCACTACATTCCAGCATGGGCGACAGAGCGAGACTCATTCTCAAAGAAACTAAAAATACTAATGATGGGCCAGGCACAGTGACTCATTCCTGTAATCCTAGCACTTTGGGAGGCCAAGGCAGGCAGATCACTTGAGGCCAGGAGCTTGAGACCAGACTGGCCAACATGGTGAAACCTTGTCTCTAATGAAAATACAAAAATTAGCCAGGTATGGTGATGTACACCTGTAATCCCAGCCACTTGGCTGGCTGAGGCACAAGAATCACTTGAGCCTGAGAGGTTGAAGTTATAGTGGGCCGAGATCACACTGCTGCACTCCAGCCTGGGCTACACAGTGAGACATGTCTCAAAACAGACAACAAATAACAAACCCTAAGTAATAACGACAAACATTAAAAAACCCACTGTATCTGATACTACATAGAGAATATAGTGCCTAATCTTCACAACAATCATAGAGGTAGCTATGATCAACCCCAATTTACAGAGGAAGAAGTCAAAGTAAGACCAGACAGTTTATTTATGGGCACATAAGGGCTCATATTCAGGCAGTCTTGATTCTAGAGCCTGTGCTTATACCCTTTATACCTGATGGCTTTGTGACCCAATCAGATGTTCCAACCTGTCTTGCCTTTGGCCTAGAGATAATCAACTTTTGTTTATAGGACAAAAATGTCATTATAGAAGTATAGGTGTAAATTTTGTTGTTGATTTTCTTTCAGTAGATTTGGATGGGTGGAAGTAATATACAAATATAATTTTTCTTAAAATTAGTGTGTCACTTCAAGTTAGACTTACTATACCTTTAGGAGGAAATAATAAAAAATATATTTTTAAAGTAAATTCAAGCAGCTTGATTTTTCTGACTCCATTCCAGCTACTACCCACCCACACAGCACATGTAGGTGCAATGTAGGATGATCTAAGCTCGGTTTTCTGGGGGATATTTGGCCTTTGCAATGAAGTGTGTGGTTGGGGGTGAAGATCAATATACATCTGCTGATTTTTCTTTTTGTCTTTAGACCCCAGAAGAACTAGAGGATGATTCTGACTTTGAGCAGGAAGATTACGACGTGCGTAGCAGGACGAGTGTTCAGACTGAGGATGACCAGCTCATTGCAGGGCAGAGTGCACGGGTGAGTGGACACCTAAGACTTTGGTTTGGCACACAGGGACCCTGTTTACTAAAATGGTTTGAGGATATTTCTAAATTCCAGAGACTTGATACCCCAGAGATTTGTGGGTCAGAAATCTGTGCCCTCATCTGAGGTTGTTTATAACAATTCACATTTTACACAGTGAAAATAACCACCACTGCTCCTGATTCCTCCTGATAACTCTCCTCTTTTGCTGTCACTAGAAACATAGCAACCACATGACAGCAAGCTTTTGTGTGTATAATTGATTTTGTTGGGGTTGTGTATTACAGTTAGATGATAAGCTGACAGGGAACACTGTCATATTCAAATTTTGCATTGGAACAGTCACCACTGTTCTGCCTGAATTCTCCAAGCTTGTTAACACAAGAGGCAATGACAAATGAGGAATCGGGGTACTACTTTGTTTATAACTAGGCTGTTGCTCCATACAATAGCCCATGTTCTATTGTATCTGACCGTATCTTTTGAAATTGGTTCAAGGCCATTCGATAGAGAACTTTTTGTTTCCTCATGTTACCCGTCTACTCCCATGGGGGTATTCCTAGATCTGTCTGCCATGTGATAGAAAAATTCATTAGAGACAAACTAGAAATATGCAAGTTTAAGGCAAGGATCAGGAAGCAACTGAGGACCACCTCTGCCTGGCGTCTGAGTACTTCATGATACTGTTCACCAATGCATTTTTCCAAAGAGCATCCTAAATTTGGCTCAATCTGATTAGCCGTATTGCCCACAGGATAGATGTATGTTACAAAGGCTGGTGGTAAGAGATGAAGTCCCTAGAGATTGCATAGGAGGGTGAAATTTTCCTCTCCTTGAAGGATCAGTTTCCAAAGAGTAAAAAGAATCAGATTATAGTATAACTGAGAGCTAGATATTCTAATTTTTTATGTTAAGTTGTATTTAAATAAGAGATAATGAATAGAAAGCAGGAGATTGAGAAAGAGGAGGTAATTTAAACTAGAAATTAGAAAACCCCAGAAAGCCCACACTGCCTTAAGAACTATGAAAGAAAAATAATCAGATGTTAAAATAAATAGGACTTGAAGGAGATGTTCAGTCAAGAAAGATTTTGTGTCTGAAACACAATTTCTCTTGTATGCTTTATGCCTTGATAGTCTCACCCAACAATCAAGTGACCCAAAATATAAATAAACATTAATATGAGGGATGTGAAGGTAAAGAAATATTAAAGACAAGGCTTTCAGACAGATATGATTTTCAGGTGTAAAGGGCAGCATTGGAACCATGCTCAAAGCTATATGTTGCTTCGTTTTCTGAGTTTCAGACCCATCACTTCGAAAATGTGAACAACAGGTACCTGATAGGATTCTTATGAAGATATAATTACTTAATATTTGTAAACTAATGGGCACAATAATAGACATACAGTAAAGGCTCAGTAAAGATGACTGTGATTATTATCATCCTTTCTAAGGGAAATCCTTTCTGATCACATGATGGTGGGACAATACAAAAGTAGGCATAGAGCCCCCTACTTCAAAAATCCCTTGCAGACTCTATTTAATCACCCCTAAAATGTTGAAAATTGGAACGGTCAGTAACTTGAAAATCTTTTGACTCTGTGTTGGCAAAACGTCAGACTAATTAAACATACAATGCGTCTTCAGAATTAAGTAAAACCAGCATTTTTATGTCACTGACAAAGGGTAAGTTTGAGTAATTCATTCAAGCATGAAGCAATTCAAAGTCAATTTGATTGACTAACTGCAACTCAGTATAGATAGAGCCTAGTATCCACTGACTAATGTTCTTAAAAACCCAGACAGGTTGTACAACTCATCTTGCTTTAAAATCACCATCTTGTCAAAATGGCATAATTAGTCCCATCTACACTAGGAAGAATAGAGTCCCAGTATACTTGTTTCATTGGGAACAGAATTCTAGTCTTATTTACATTAGCCATCAAGTCAATGATGATGGGTAAAAATACAATTCAGAGGCTTCTGTCTTTATCATCTATTATTTCTCCACACTATTGTCTTTACTGAGAGTATTTTTCCAGCATGAATTATAGACAGGGTCTAAGATAGTAAGAACAGCACTCCTATAATTCAGCACTTGCTAATTTGTCTTTGAGGTCCATCATGTGGTCTGTATGATTAACTTGCAGCAGACAGCATTACTTATTGAGTCAGCCTATTTTAGCCTGTAATTATATGATGACAAATCAGAGACAAGGAATTATGGCTGTTAAGTTGGAAATAAGAGGGTGCATTGAATTGCTGAAATGATAGATGGTCAGACTTTTGACCAGCAAAGTGTGTTAAGTTGGTCTAAATTGTGAAGGAGGTGAACTTTGTCTTTGAGGGAGGCATTTGCTCTTCCCTGAAGCCAGTCCTCAATGTTAATGATTTACTTTGTGTTCTCATTTAGAGAAAGTCTCCCTTTCTGAAAATGGTAAATCAATGTAAAAGGAGGTGTAAGTGGGAGATAAGCTTTTAGTAACCCTATCCAACATTGCTAGCAAATTGTGGAATTAGAGTCTTTAAAAAAAATTCCTTTATATGCTCATGCCTGCTGCTTGCCTACAACATTCTGAGGGAGAAGAGAGTTGGGTGGGGGCAGGGGTATGAATGGGAATCAATATGGAAGGCAGTGATCTGATAAAATATGGAGGTGATCCTACCCTTTGATCCCAGACATGACATTATAAACTGTTTCTCCACAGGTTGACACAGTTAAAATAGGTTAGTGACACTGCTTGGCACTTAGCCTTGGGGATACAATATATTATTTGGAGTCAAACCCAATTTTAAATATGGACTTAGTGAAGCTGTTTGACTTTGGGGCAACTTTCTTAACCTCTCCACCTTTCATCTCCTCCTATGCTACCTCATAAGATCACTGGGTGAATTCCAGGATAAAATGTATCACATGATTTATCATATAAATACGGAATAATTAAGTTGGTGGTAATGGTGATGATGCTTGTGGCTTGAGCTAAGCATTCCTTAGAGGGCTGACTAATTTCACCTGAAAGAGTTGGATAATTCAGGCAATCATGAGAGGTTTTACTTGAGTTAATGGGACAATTACCTCAATTTTCCAATTCACTTCACAATTAGAGACTGGTAAGAATCAAAGGACCCACTCCTTAACTACTTATATTTATTACCCTGCTTTACAGTCAAGTGAGTAAAAACAGGCACATTGAGTTTTTGCCCCTTTGTTATTTATAAACATTCTTGTGCTTGAAACTTAGTATTAGCCTCTTGCTATCTGCTTAAGAAATGAACACATGTCAGTTTGGGGACCTATAGACTTGAAAGATTATTTTTTTCTCTGGGTAATTAGAAAATAATCATATCAAAAGCTCCTTGAGATTTAAGTTGAAGAAAGGATTCAGTGCTATTTGAATGGTTGTTGGCTTGTATCAGTGATTTTCGCTTTTATCTTAATAGGTAGGGTTTATAACAATCACCAAAAAATAGTTGTTGGTTCAGAGCAACGGCTCTGGGGTAGGGGGAAGAAATCCTCTTAGACTAATGTCTCTGATACCACTAATTTGGGACCCCACATCAGGCAGATCAAGAATTTGGAGAGCTGTGCTTGGCTACTATGAAAAGAAGCAGAAATTATCAAACTGTCCCAGATAATCGTATCATATAAACAGAAAATCTGATCTGTCCCCTTTCCTCTTGGCCATGAAAATAATTTTTCTCATGTTCCCTCGGTTTGAGAGATTGAACAATTGCATGTTATGTATTTTATATTGGTTTGATTTCAGTGTAGCTGGCTTCTATTTTTTTCTAGCTACAATGGCTTTCATGTGTTAACATTTCAAACTGCTGAGTTATATTGATAAGACCTAATTAAAACTCATGCGTTGAATTCTAATTTGATTAACTTGCAAATTTCACAGTTTGTGATCTACTGTTTATAGATAACCTTTTTTAAAATTCCAGTTTCAGAAAAGGTCAATTATGAATTTTTAAAAGCAAGACCATTTTAAGAATATTTAGGAATAGACTTCAGCTCATTGATAGCTACATAAGCAGAGGCAAATGGAAGGATGCTTTCACCCAATTCACTCACCATTAAGTGTGTTACTCAGGTCAAGCACCCCTAGAGCCAAAATAGTATCTTCCTTTGCAAACTTGCATTGGAGGAGACAGTTTTTCTTCAGAATTGTGTCCTTAGAATGTGTGTGTCAGTTCTGGCAACTTCTCTTGAATTATGTTAATGCAGTGAGTGGAAAAGTGTGTAAGCAGTCAGTCAAAAGATGTTTTTAAGCTTCTACTCGTGGCAGGATATGGCTGCCTAAACCCTAGGGAAGCACATAGAGAAGTTAGAGGTAAGGCATTAATGGGAATTAGAGAGCAAAGCAAAGAGGTTAATATTCAAGTGCTAAATTGTATAATGGAGACCCAAGTGCTATCCTTGACAGAGAAGTATACTCCCTTCAGTGCACAAGTTAACCTTGTGTTGGAACAATGAAATGTGCATTGCTTTCCATCTGGGGATTGAACATAGAGTCTAGAAGTCCGACAGTTTTACGGATTCTTTTATAGAGAAGCACCTAGCGAATACTTTAAAGGATGCTGGTTTAGGACCCATGAGGTCTAAGTAAAGCGTGATTTGCTCTTATGTATGAGGAGGACAATGAACCAAAAACAACAATAGGTCATCAGAAAGAGATAGCTAAAGAAAAAACTGCATATTTAATTTCTGGAAATCAAACGTATCTCAAATACAATGGATTAGTTGTCTTGCTATGAACACAGCATTGCAAATGTGAGGTTATAATAAACTCTTATATATCAAGTACCTTTTTAAATCCAGTTTTTAAAGTTACTTTAACAATAGCTTTCAAGATAAAATATTTTAAATATCTTAACTATAGTATTCTTACAAGTCTGTATTTTAAAATATGGATTAAAATTTACACATACACAAGCATATCTAAACATATGTACACATGCTATTTAAAGCTACATACATGCATACATGGGAGTTAGTAGATGTGGCTATTAGTAAGAAGCATCTGTGCAGCCACTGGCTCAAGGATAACTTTAGGCAAATCAGACACCATAGGCAACTCGTGCCTATGGCATCCACCAGGATGCACAGCCTGGCAAACAGTGCTAGTGATTTCAGTGACCTTGCCCCACTTGGTTGAGGACCCTTGGACAGTGGGTAAGTTGCATGGCCTTGCACAGCTGATGATGCAGTTGTGTGCAATGGTTAAGAATGATCTTAGCTTGCCTGGGTTTGAATCCTATTCCTACAGCCTATTACTTGTGTAATATTAGGAATTTTATGAATTTCTCTGGGCCTAGATATTGTCATTATTTAAATGGGGATAATAAATAAGTAGATTGTTATTTGACATACATAAGCCTCAACAAAATACCCAGTTTGTGTGTGTATACATAAAGAATCACAGCACTCTTCTGTTTTTAGATAGTTGCATAGACACTGAACCTATCCCTTTCCCTGTGGCAACTAAGAAATGAGCCAGAGGGATAGTTGGAAAGGAAAACTAATGGCAGAAATGATAATGTAATGTTAATGACAATTCTATACATACGTACTTTCATTTTTTTGACAAAACACTTAATTTGCTGCCCACCATCAAAAAGTGATGGTGGGCAGCAAATTAATTAAGAACTAACTATATGTTTTGTCAAAATAATTGACAAATTATTATTTGCTATGCCCATATTGTATCTAAAGAGATCAATGGTATGATCCATTTAACAGTGAAGTCTTAACCCAGGTTACTTACAGGGTCTTTGTTGAACCCAGTTTGTCTGAGCTCACATGGCCTGATACCTCTATTAGACCTTAGTTCTAGTCACTCACTTTGGGAGAAGATTTACAATTTATGAAGCAGTTTTCTTATGTTATTTCACTTGCTCATTGCAGAAACTGTAGTCCCCCAAGTCGTACTCTCTCGGTCTGTCTTCTGGAAAATGGGTGTATCCCAGAAGCAGGAAGTACCCATTTACATGCTCCTGATTGTGAAGCGGGTTGCGTACAGTTTGGGGAAGATGTAATAAGGTGATGTCAGACATTTCATTCAGGGCTTGCTTTGTAAATGATGTTTAACAAATATAGTTAATTCTCACTGTTCCTGAGAGTTATGTTCTATAAAGTCATCATGAACATTTAATTAGCAAATATTTAATCATTGCTTCTAGAGGAAATACAGCTTTAGGTTCCTCAGAACTGCCAGTCAAGACATTTTCTTCAACTGATCAATATATAACTGTTTAATGGGTGTTTCTGTTTAGATACTTTATTTTATATAATTTATTAACACTGAACTCATGGCCAGTAGCTCTGTAACTCATGTCTGATTGAAGCTTGGCTAACACATGTATTTTCTCCATAAGGCATATGTCATCCTTCTCCTGCTCAGGGACACTAGACGCCCTTGAGCACCATGCTTGGAGCCATTTTAAATAGCCAAGTTATTAACACAAAGCACAGGCTGGGTGTGGTGGCTCACGCCTGTAATCCCAGCACTTTGGGAGGCTAAGGCAGGTGGGTCACGAGGTCAAGAGATCGGACCATCTTGACCAACATGGTGAAACTCTGTCTGTACTAAAAATACAAAAATTAGCTGGGCATAGTGGCATGTGCCTGCAGTTCCAGCTACTAGGGAGGCTGAGGCAGGAGAACTACTTGAACCCAGGAGGCAGAGGCTGCAGTGAGCTGAGACTGTGCCACTGCACTCCAGTTTGGCGACAAAGAAAGACTATGTCTCAAAAAAAAAAAAAAAAAAAAAAACCATACACACAACAACAAAAACCAACAAAAATGTGAAAAAAATGTAGCACTAAATAGACCACAAAAAGTACACTTGTTTACCATGCCAGAGCTGAAAAAGGAAGGCAGAGCATTGCCTTGTTCACCCTCATTTGGGAATATGCATATCAGGCAACTCAAATTTTTTGCTGCTCTGCCCACATTTGCAAATGACCATGAAAATGCTACAAGCCTTCATTTGGGGCTTACAAATATATTTTAGAGAATAGGCAAAATTGCAAGTGAAGAATCCATGAACAAGGAGAAGACTGCAGTTCTCCCTTTTCTACATTTTCTTACCTAGCAGTTATTGAAAATCAAGCCATGCTTCCTAATTTTATACTTTATCCCATTATAACTTTTCTGCCTACGTGCTCAAAGGCTTTACGAGGAGCCACAGGCAGGCCACCACCCTGAAGGCGATGGGAGAGGGCTAGGAGTAGGCATGCCATCCCCAGAATTCCCTGGGTAGGGGATTTTTGTTTGGCATCTCTCTGTAGACACCTTCATTAACACTCATAGAAAGCCTCCCCCATCCTCCCCCATTTGGATGCTCAGATAGTGTTTAAAATTCCTCTCCTTTCCAGTGACAGAAGGCCGTTTTTCTTTTTTCCCTTCTCTGAACAGATTTCACTGTTGAAAGAGGTGCATTCTTTCATCTGGTAAAAGTTTCCTGAGACCAAATATAAAAATTGTCAAGAATAGCTTCTTTTGAACAAACATATGCCATCAAAGCGGCAGAGAAGTTCTGTTATTGTCAGTGCGCACGTAGCTTTGGATATCTCTGTATTTTTCATCTATGGGAGTGGGACGGGGACTTGGGGGAAGCTTATCAGCCTGTGCTTGTGGCCTCCCTGGAATGGAGAAAGACGTGCTTTCTGGAATGGCAGGGTAGCTCATAAGCCTTTGCAGGGTCTGGTTCTGCCATCCGCTGAAGGCAGAGTCAACATACGGTCTGTACTTCCTTTGTCACCGTCACTCACGCTTTTTTTGTAACCCACGCAGGCCATCATGGCGCAACTACCGCAAGAAGAGAAGGCAAAAATAGCTGAGCAGGTGGAGATATTCCATCAAGAGAAAAGCAAGCTGGATGCAGAAGTGGCCAAATGGGACGACAGCGGCAATGATATCATTGTACTGGCCAAGCAGATGTGTATGATCATGATGGAAATGACAGACTTCACAAGGTGAGGCCCAGAGTCAGGGAGAAGAAGATAGATTTTTTTCAGTAAGCCCAGAAGTGTAGCAGTATGTATTAGCATGTGAAGCCTGCTGAAAAATTAAAATACATCAATGTAAGGTGGTGGTATTATAAATTTACATGTATAAGTCAAAATGATCTGGACTTAATTCCTAGCATATAGGTAGGTCTTTTTAGTCAAGGAGAATATATTCAATGTTATAGTTATTGTTGTTGTAATTATATACCCTAAGGAAGACATAAAATCAAATTAATGGGTGACTTATCTTTGGTCTATGCTATTTTGCAATATGCTTAAATATTATTCTGCAGATAAAGTGAATGATTCATTAATATCCCTTTGGAAAAATATGTACCTGTGTGTGTGCACATGTATACTATAGTATGTTGTAATACTAGTTTGTGATCTAACAACATTAATTTAAGTTCACGTTTTATTGTTATATATTAAGAATCAGGTGTCACAATCTAAGATTCCATTGTTTTTACAGAGAAATTAAAGTTGTGTAAGATTTATTTCTTTTAGCTCTGAGCTAGTGCTTTTGACAAATCAAGTGACCAGTCAGAATTTTGTCAGGAGCCTTTTCTTCACCAAAGGTTAGTGCTGTTCCTACCACTGCATTTTGGTTTCTTCTTTAAAAGAAGGTGATATCTTTGCCCTTTCAACACAAAGGGCAAACCAAGGGAGAGCAAAATTCAGTAAGAACCTCCCTGACTCTTAAATCAGAATATCAGGTGATTTGGGGGCAAGTCTCGTACTCTCTGTTTATTTGTGAAATGGTGAAATCACACTTGTCTTATCAACTTCAGAAGAGAGTTTTAAAATCTAAAGAGATAATGCAGGTATAAATTATGCTTCCATAGAAAGATAAGCTATCATTTTACTATAGTTTTTTTTCTGGAAAACACGCACATTTGCAAAGGTATTTTAATGATTTAACATGGTATTCATTATGTAAGATATATGGGAATGTCAACACGTCATCTGATGGGTGACAATTTTTTTTAATGGTTGTTGAATGCTTCTAATGAGAAAAGCCTCGAATTGATTATAAGTTGTAATTTAATATGGAACATCTCTGCGTCATCCCCTTTGCCTCTGGCCAATATGTACTAATGACATTCATTGGCCCTTTCTCCAAATATTTTAAAACTGTTTTTTACTTCAGTGGAATGGCTTTACTGTTATGGAGGAGACATTTGAGACTTTTAAATGTCATTGTACTCATTAGAAGTTCAAATTTGTACATTTGGTTAGTCTTTGTGGACTTTACACATTTATTTCATAAAACATAACAGCAGGAAAAAATTTTGAGCCATTATTTCAGCCTGAAATTTCCTACAAATCAGACTGTTATGGCAGCCTCAGTCATTATTTCTCAGGCCTGTGATGACTTAATTTGCTTGCTCTCAACATTTTATTAGTACTTTATCTGATGGTTATTATGCAATCCATTAATAGCATCACTTGAACAAATAATCTCATTACAGTGAATAATGAATGTGGTCCTGCTACTAGTTTTGATCAGGAGCACATTTTAAAATTATCTAGATTATGTAACTGTAGTCAAGGCACAGTTATAAAAGATATATTTGAAGGGTCTTGTTACATGGTATTAAATAAGACACATGTCTGTTAGTCAAAGTATAGTTTTAAAAGTGAGAAGAAGGTGTCTTCAATTTCCTAGGGATTTCGTGTCATTATTTTAGGCTGATTTGAATAATGAAATGTCTAGGGAGCTACTAGTTACAATTTTTCCCACTGCATGATGAGTAGTTTTGTGCCCTTTTGTTAGAGCACAGGGAGGAGTATAATAATTAATGACTAGAGAACCAGAGTAGACTGAGTTTGAAATGCAACACAGGAAGTTGAGGCTTCATTGCCGCCGCCATCTGCACAGCCTGTTGTTTTGGAAACAGACTGCTGAGGAGTGCCTTTCTTTGTGGCCTCTCACCTAAGTTCACCACATTTGACCTTATACATTGTTATTATTGCCTTTCCACTTGTATATTCCACTTCAAGGAGGAATAATTTTAACTCCATAACTCTAAACATTCCTAAGTACCATTTTCTCTTGTTTAAAGGAATGGATGTAGCTGATTAGGAATTGACACATGGCTACTCTTCCTAATATATCTGTTTAAAGGGCATGTGGGTACACAAAGTACTCTGGCATTTATTATCTTGTTTTATTCTTATCACTAGCTAATTCATTAATTTGTTTCAGTAATCTCAATGCTATTCACTCTGTTATTAAAAGTGAAGGGGTTCTGCCTCATTATATGTGTAATAACTTCTTCATGGAAGATAAAACTGATTATGCCTCATATCTTTTTCCCACTAAGTTCTTGACTTCCATCTCATGGACAGTGGCAGAAGCACCATCATGCACAGAGTGAATTCATGCTTTTCATATCATTTTTCAGAAAGAAATAGCACATTTCTAGTCTTGTGTCCCAATAACGAAAGGTGTGCAGACAGCAGCAGCTCAGGTTTAATTGTATAGCAAAAAGCAAAGCTGTTTATAGAATCAACCCTAAGTTCTAATTTTCAACAGTTTTGAGACTTTTTTAAGAAAAAAAAATACTCAGGGTACAATTGACTGTAAAATACTAAGTACTAGACTCAAAAATCATATAATGATTCTGTATTTCCCAAACTATTTCCTGCCTTAGTTCACATGCTCAGTACCTCAGCTTAGGCAGCACTCAGCTGGTCTTTCAATTTCAATTCTTTACTCATCCAGGCCACATCTGGCCAGTGAAGGGCAGCCATCCAGCTTCCTTTGCACCAAAGCTTTCGTTAGTTCCTGTTTTCACAGAATAAAAATCCTGCTTTACTCTTGGAGACCCACCTTTCTTGACCGATAGACATCTGTCATAATCTTGTACTTATTTAACAACTGACCTTACAACCTATTCCACCTTTTTCAGAAGTACCTGGAGTAGTTCAACTTGTGATAATGTAGTTCCACCTGAGTTCTCAGAATTCCCCAGATTCACTCAACTGCTATACTGGGCTGTCCTCATGCTGCTTCAGCTGATGAGTAAAATTTCCCAAGCATTTTGGCCATTGTATATCTCCTTTGAAGAAATATCTATCCAAGTCTTTTGCTTATTTTTTAGTTGGATTGTTGGTTTGCTTTTTTGATGTTGAGTTGTAGGAGTCCTTGGTATATTCTGGATATTAATTCCTTATTTTCTATTAATTACTATTTTCTCTTATATTATTGGTTTCTTTTTCACTATTTGTTGATAGCGTTCTTTGACACACAAAAGTTTTTAGCCTTGAAGTTGAATATCTATTTTTTTTTCTTTTGTTGCTTTTACTTTTAGTGTTATATCCAAGAAATTATTACCAAATTCAATATCATGAAGTTTTCTCCTGTGTTTTCTTCTTCGGGTTTTATACTTTAGTTCTTATGTTTAGCTCTTTCATTTGTTTTTAGTTAATTTTTAAATGAGGTATAACATGAGGACAGCTGCTGCTTTTGCATGTAGATAATCCAGTTTTCCCAGCACCATTTATTGAATTGAAAACACTGCCCTTTTCTAGGACCTAAATATTAGCAAAAATCTTAGTATCTTTATAGAAATTCATTTGACCTTATATGTAAGGGTCTATTTCTGAATTCCACTCTATTCCATTGGTCTCCATGTCTGTCTTTATGCCAGTACTACCCTATTTTTATTACTGTAAGTTTTAAAATCAGAAAGTATGAGGCCTCCATTTTTTGTTATTTTCGAGACTGCTTTGGCTATTTGGGTTGCCTTGAGATTCCATGTGATTTTTAGGATGGAATTTTTAATTTCTGCCAAAAATGCATTTGGGTTTTGATAAGGATTATAGTAAATCTGTAGATCTCTTTGCGTAATATTGACTTCTTAGTATTAAGTCTTCCAAACCACATTTATTGAATTACTTTTCATTTATTTTTCTAATTTCAACAATAGTTTGTAGTTTTCAGCATACAGATCTTCTTCCTCCTTGCTTAAGCTTATTCCTAAACATTCTATTTTTTTTTGATACTATTGTAAATGGAGTTAGTTTCTTCATTTTCTTTCAGGATTGTTTATTACTAGTGTCTAGAAACATTTTGCTGCAATTTGCCTGAATTCAGTTACTAGTTTTATCAGTTTTTTTTTAAGAATGTTAAACATTTTCTACATGTAAGATCAAGTCACCTGTTAACAGAGATAATTTTGCTTTTTTCTTTCCAAATTGAATACCTTTTGGTTTTTTAACTTGCCTGATTGGACTGGCTGGAACTTCTAGTACTGTGTTAAATAGGAATGGCAAGAGCAGGCATCCTTGCCTTGATCCTGGTCTTAGAGGTAAAGATTTTGTCATTCACCACTGAGTATAAAAAGTTACCTGTGGGTTTTAAAACTGTCATTAAGATGAAATAAAATTGAAACATTGTTTGACAGTTGCTTTTAAAGTTAAAAATGTGTGGTGGTATTTCTGAGGTCTCTGTTTTGTTCCATTGGTCTATATGTGTGTTTTGGTATGAGTACCGTATAAGTACCGCATGCTAACTGATTGCGCCACTGGAGCTCCGTGGTATGAGTACCATGCTGTTTTGGTTACTATAGCTTTGTAGTATAGTTTGAAGTCAGGTACCATAATGCCTCCAGCTTTTCTATTTTTTCTTGGATTGTCTTGGCTATACGAGCTTTTTCCATGTGAAATTTAAAGTAGTTTTTTTCTAATTATGCAAAGAGTCAATGATAACTTGATGGGAATGGCATTGAATCTGCGAATTACTTTGGGCAGTATTTCCATTTTCATGATATTGATTCTTCCAATTCATGAGCATGGATTTGTTTGTGTCCTCTGTTATTTCCTTGAGCAATGGTTTGTAGTTCTTGAAGAGCAATGGTTTGTAGTTCATGTCCCTTGTAAGTTGTATTCCTAGGTATTTTATTCTCTTTGTAGAAATTTTGAATGGGAGTTTATTCATGATTTAGTTCTCTGCTTGTCTA